GTGAGGTAATCTTAACCATAGATCCAGGAGCAGTACAGGTCTCTGAGTCAGGATTAGTCATTCATTTCACATCTTCACCACTATTATCCACCCAACCTGTAGTGTTTGCATCTCCCACAGATCCTCAGGACTTGGAAATTAGTTCTAGGTCTAACAGAGTTTGGTTAGTCTGGGTGTAGTGAGAGAGTCATGCAAGTTTTTCCGAGGTTTTATTCCCGTCAGTTTTTGGGCCTAAGAAAACAAGAGATCTTTCTTGTCTATACCAGTGCCTAGATTCTCCAATTTTTACAAGTTACTCCTTCCTCAATCTGAGTTGACATTTTTTGCTGTTATTGTGGATCTCCAAGTTCTTTGTAGTTAGCCCATATCTGCTAACTTGTCAGAGTTTTTTGTGCAAAAGGGTCAGGTACTGCAGTTCTGGGTTTTTACCTTTGGACTCGCATTGGCCTCACATGAGTTTTGTTGTATTCTACGAATTTCTTTTCTCGTCACCTCCATCTATTGCACTGTGCACACACCATTCCATAGACGATTGGCTATTGCTGGCAACATCATGTGAATTGTCAGAACATCACATCCAGATTCTACTTTCAGAAACAACCAAGCCAGACTTCATTCTTAGGGCTGAGACATCTATTCTTGCTCCAATTCAATATGTCATCAGTCTGGGTATTTTATTTTTTGCATCTTGTATCTCAGTAGATCTCAGCTTACTCACCTCTCCTTCTCCCACTGCATGGATGGTTCATTCTCTTCTGGGAATGTAGGCATCATCAAATCCCTCATGCCTTTGGGAAGAGAGTGCAAGAGATATCTTTAATGGGCTCTATGCAACCAAGAGATCATTAACATTGAATCGCTGGATTTCTCAGTTTTCTTAGTCAGGATCATTCTTCAATCTCAAGAGGTTGTTAAGTCTAAGATATGGGTTCCTCTATCACCACATCATCTAGAGTTCCATTTCATCACAAATGCATTACTTTAGGGATGGGATGCATATACCAACAATCAGGAATTTCAGGGTCTACACAATGTTTTAGTCCTCCTTGCTCTTCAAAAGGCAATGCCTTATGGTCTGAGCTTATTAAGGGGAAAATAATCAGGCTTCACTCTTAGAATTCCGTGGGGGTGTCTTGTGTTTCTCATTGAGGAGGCACTTCATCTAGGGCTTCTTGTTCTTGAATCTTGGACCTCCTTTCTCGAGTCCATTTCTATCATATCACCCTACTAGCTTGCTATGTTCCACAAATGATGCCTGTGGTAGCAGGTCAATTGCCTCAATCTAAAGATATTATCCTGAAAGAATAGATGCTGCATTACAAGTTTCTGTTTCATTGGCTCTCATTTTGCAACTCTGACTGGTGGGTTGGTCTCTCATTGAATCACCCAACTACTGGCAGTTTGGTATCCAGTACCTCACCTTTGGTAGTGGATGCATTCCATCAGGACAGGGCAGGATTACAACTCTAGGCTGGCCTTCCCTACAATTCATATGTTACCCAAGGTACCAAATATGATTTGTTCCAACTCATTGTTGGGTCCTGTTAATAGAACCAGATTGGCAGCTACACTCTGAATTTTGCTTCTGCAGTAGCTTTCAGTGTCCACCTCTTCCACTTCTTAGACCATATCTGTGGAAGCAACCATGATCTGACATGGTACACCTGGCTATCCAGAAGCTCAAGCTTCAGATATAGAGGTTATGCTGCCTTTTGTACAACACTGGGGTTTAATTTATAAGGTTGCCATGTATCTGCTTCAGTTTTTGCTTAGTCCCGAGATGAACATTTATCAATGGAAATGACATGCATTTCGGTAATTGGGTATTGGGAGGAGGTTGAACTCACAGCGAACCATAACTCGTTTTTTGATCTGGCTCTTTGGCAGGGATTTTACATCTTCCACAATTGCCCTGTTTGAGGCAGCCTTATAGACTATCACTGAATTCTTGTGACTAAATATTCTTTGAGTCCCCAGTACTCACTGGATTCCTCAAGTCACTTTGGGCCCTTGGTCCCAAATGACCATTCCAGTTACCAAACAGGTATATTAAGGTTACATTACATACTCTTTCTCAACACCTGTTTGTGACTTGATTCTTATATACCATCTATCCCCTTTACTTGAAGGTTTATTTTTTCGTGGCTGCTGACCTACAGACATCACTGGTCAGAGTGAGTTGTACTGTTTGTCCACAGAATGCTTTCTCATTCACTCTACGTTCTCAGACCGGTTCTTCATACCCAAGACACTGTCAAACCCCTTACTCTTTACTCATGATAGTCCATGAGTGGCAGTCTAGCATAGTACAGTAATACCACCCAATCAGCCTCTAAGTGGTCTTATGGAACACCTCATTTCTACAGAGCCTGTTGTAACCTAGATAAAGTATACTGAAATAGTAGTTGCTAGTGCAGAATTGGTTTGACAAAAGCACACCTGCCTGGGCAACACTTCTCACAGAGTGGGAACCTGTGAAAATTAGGTCAGGGACCCTGAAAGGTAGCAATGAAAATACTCACCCCTCTGTATAATCTAGCAGAAATGGTTAAGATAGCTACAGGAGGTAGGCAAAAACACTCAGATGTAGATACTGCCAGATCATGCAAATAATGTCAGATAAAAGTATTGGGGGAGGTCCACATACCAGTCTGCACAATGTGCTTCAGCAGGCATTTCAACGGGCTGCTATGAACATAGAAATGTGACAAATCTGATTAGATGTGACTCACATAAAATTACTTGCTTTCAAAGAGAGCCCAAAATAAAAAGTTGTTGTCTAGTATCTCTAAAGGCATTAGTGCAGGCAACAAAACCTTCAAGACCCTCACTGAATATGACTATGATTGAAATCTGATCTGACACAGATGAGAGTAATAGTGATCAGATGAATCAGCAAAAAGGATTTATCCCCTTCCTTCTTTGCCTACTTCTCCAAAAGTGGAGGAATTCACCCTAACACTCTAGAGGAAAAAGCCTCTGTCCACCACCCTAGTGAATTGAAACTGGGTGTAGTAAGGACTCCCTAGCTCCATTAGTAGAATCTGGGGGGTAATGCATGTTAGGGAGTCTTGAGAAACAGTGCTCTGGAAACAGTGCAATGGTGAACCAAGTTTTCTAAATTTTTCAAAGCAAACCAACCCAGATTCATTCAATCTAATAATCAGTGGGAACGGGCAGGATCTAGTGGCCCTCCTACCTGGGTCTCTCGATGTTGGTAGGAGTGGCACCACCAATGTGAGAACCTACTCGTCATGTCGGTTCAGATTTGACCCTCAGTTATTCAGTTGGGTTGAGTGTGTGGCCATTCCTTTTGATCAATATGGGTTCAGTACATTGTTCATGGGAAAGGGTCCACTCTCTCCTCATAATTCCGAATGCAGAATGGTCTCATCCTGGGTCCTTGGTTGAGCACAGTCCTCCCCATAATTGTGGGGCAAGTGGAATTTACTTTGCCCACACTGTTGGGGAGTGAGGATGAGAGGTCATAATTCCAGACCAGATGAGTTCTGTTTCCTCAGGTTGAGTAAGGTATATATGATCCCATCATTCCAATCCTGGGATGTTGCCTTTCAGACTTCTTCAGGTTTAGGAGAAGATTTGTCCACTTTAGTGTTGCTTACTTTCTCATTATGATTCTGGTGGCTCAGAATGCATCACTCTATGGCTACAAGTTGGGATCCACTCGTAAGTATATCTATATATATAATCTGTGGTCCAATTGCTCTAGCCACCAATGGGTAATATAGGGACTAGGGCCCTATTACTCCAACTCTGAGTAGTGGCTATCTGGTTAGAGCTTACCTGTTCTGGATGTAGTGCAGTTCCCCCACTAGGGTACTAATCTTCTGTTGACACACCCATGATCTATGCAGATGCTTTCTGTATGGATAATGCCATCATTGGCCCCTCCACCTTATGAATGTGGGATTCTAGCTATAAGTGGAAGCAGAGGTAAGTATGTTTTGGAAGTTAACATTTTCTTAAAATCGAAAATGTATTTCCAATAATACTGACCTCTTCTCACACTCTCCCACACTTTCTAGCCGATGTTAAAGACTGGTATTAAGTTAAGTCTAGAAAAAATTATAGCATTATCTGAATGAGGTGCTTATATACAGTACCAGGATAGAGGGTGCATTGATGTAGATGGAGAGTGTCACAAGATAAATATTGCCAAGGGCAATTGAGTGTTGTATAAAAGATTGGAGTAAGCAAGAAGAAAACAGACCAATGCTTAGATGGACAAAGGAAGAAACCCTGACAGTCGAGTAATAGCCATAAGTGTCAATGGAGGTAAGTATTATTGGAAATACATTTTCGATATATGAAACATTTTAACTTACATTATAACAGTCTAAATCATCACTAACGTTTGTGTATTTATACCTACACTTTTTTTATCTTTGGTTTGCAACTGAAAGTGTGGTTGTAGGTGTTTTTTATCGATAAGATTGTACAATACATGAATATGCATTTGCACAATATTTATTTTTTAGAAAATTTGAAATATATAGAAATAAGAATTCTCAGTAATTTTAAATGTATGATGTTTTGCCTTTTGTGGAAATTTTAGATAGTTCTGTTAATTCATATGTTTTATACAGTTAGATTATAGAGAACATTAAGGAACCTACAGCCTCTTTTCAAATAAAAGGAAGAGTTAATTATTCAAAGACAATAAAAGTAATAGACATTAGCTGACTAGTGCATTCATGTCCCATCTGAAAGAAATTGTGGAGCTGCTACTGTGTATGATCTTTTAATGAACTTAGGTATACTTATTCCAGGTAAAGAATAGTCAGTATGCTGTAACTAAGTATTAAGATGTTAGGACTCTTGTTTCAAAAATTCATAAATGTCTCTACTCTTAATTTGAAGTACAGATTTAATATGTGATTTATTGCCTACCTGAATTGATGTGTGTTAACAAGTAGAAGGGGTTGAGAAAGGAAGGAATATTTCGGTTATTTTCAGGTTTTGTTTCCTGTGTTTTTCAGAATAAACGGCAGTTGTTTAATCTCTTGATTGTAGTTCTCAACATAGTAACATGTACGGCATTCGTCTATTTGGTATTTGATGACAGTCATCTGGCATTTGCGTAAGTATCACTTGTTTTTCAGTCTGTTATTATGCAAATAGTTTTTCAAAATGAAACTGGATTTGTTTCTCTGTGGTGTTGAAAATGTGGGCAATCAGTCATCACTTCTCAACCTACTTCTTGTTAATATAGTGCGTATATCTTCACAAAACTTGGCAGTCTTTCAGTTAATATTATGAGTCTTTCATGTACAAAAAATCATATTTTTTTTAATGAAGTATTTTGAATAAAATAAAATAAAGCTTTGTCTATGAATACAATGAGTATTTGTTTTGAATAATCTGTGTGCAAAATAAGTTTCATGTTAAGATTGAAAATACTTTTCTTCATCTCAAAAATCTCAATTTTCATTTGTGTAATCTAAAACCTCTTAATAACATTTCAAATGTTTGTTTTCATAAAACTTTATATTTTATTTATTTTCTCTACCCTAATGCTATACAAGGTTGGTAAATTTGACTGACCTCGTAATCATAAAAAAAAAATTGAAATAAATCTAAATTATCCTATTTTTCTTTCTAGAATGACTTCCAATTGTAACATCAAACTATATTCATTTATCCTAAGTAGCTTTAAACTCGTAACAGTGTACGTCAGTTTATAATTAAATTTGATTGTTTTATTGCCCTTTGAACCATGAATAACTACAATTCATGCCATTATAAGTTTTAAATCATTTGGGGACCATGCTGCTTACATTATGCTATCAAGTTATGTTAACTCATGAGCTGTTCGCTCGCATGCCTCGTGAAACATTTTTATCATATTATTATTATTATTATTTATTTTACCTAATATAACCTTAAATAACCTAAAGAGATCCCTATTTTTACATTTTATAAAAATAAATAAAGAATTAACATTAAAAACAAGAAATAAAGTACTTAAACAAGTATTTTTTTTTGCTGTTGACTGTTGATGACACTTAACCCTACTTTTTTATAATATTGGTAGTAATGCACTAAATAATTTATATTTAATTAAGTAATGCACCACAGAACATAGAATAATAACATGCAAAAAGCAGACAATTTCCTCTAACTATTACAATTTTTCTGGCTTTCTAACTATGTGACAAGAGCTGTTACAAATTAATCCAAGCAAGTCATTATCTTTCCCATGGGAACGAAGCTTGTATTAACGGAGAAATTGGCAATTCTCTGTTCAGAAAACAATGTAATATAATATGATGTCATTTGATAGATGAAAACCTAGGCTTTCTATTGGTTATAGATAATAAACAATTAAATGTATGAGAGAATTATTAACAAATCTTGAAAGAGAGGATGTGATATGTGGGTGTGGCAAGAGAGGTCTGATTTTCTATTTGATAGCTTTGTAACCAAACAAAATTGAAAGCTATAAAAGTTATGGTTTGTCTGAGCAATGAAAATTTCATAGTTAGTAATTTGCATTTAATTTCATACTTATTGGAGAGGTGGTGGATAAAATAGAGAAGAGGCAGATGTCTAGAGAAAATGTGTCACACTAGGAGAAATTCAGGTTTTTTAAATATTGCCTCATAAAATTAAGAACTTAAAACTTGTATACTGTTTAAATATGATTATTAGCTAAGATTTTATGCTATACGAATTGGTATAACAAACAAAAAGTGGATTAATAAGATTTTGAATGTATGTCACTAAAATCTTGTGACATACGCAGTAAAGGATGCCCAGGCAGAGAGGGTTAAGCATAATACAAAATGTAGGCAAGCAATCATCACTTCTCAACCTACTTCTTATTAAGCGTAATGGAGGATGTGGGCTATTAGTCATTACTTGTAAACCTGCTTATTAAGCACAATGTAGCATTTGGGCAATCAGTCATCACATTCTCACCCTACTTCCTATTAAATACAATGTATCACCTACAATGATGGAGGCATGATGTTACAGATCCTATTAGGTGCTGCTGCTTGGAGATGATAAGTTTCCATAAGTGTTGCACTTTCCCCTTAAAGATCAAAATGATAGAAATCACAAAGTGTTTAGTTAGAACTATATGCAAGATGGAGAAGAACAGATCAGTGAACCTCTTCATTGTAGTTTCTAGTGACAAGTGGTATAGGATTTGACATTATATTACAGGAGAACATGTTCAAGTTTGATACTGAAATGCTCAGTGCATCAAAAGAAAAGAAACTTAGTCAATGTTATGATTTGTAATTTGCCATAAGGAGGCAGATAGTCAAAGACTAATGTGAAAGTAAAATTATGATATTTGCTTTTTTTTGTAATTGTTCTTCATGCCACTTATAGTGGAAAACAGTAAACAATTTAGTTGAAAGCAGTCGAACAATAACTATTGGTATGGAAGTTGGCGATTAACTACTCGATAATCAATAGATATGATCAAAGTTATTTTGAGCTAAAATAATATTTCAAATATTTGCTTGAATAAAGCTAAATTTCAAAAGTCTTTATTCAGTGAATTTTGAGTAAACATATAAATGGGTAGCTGAGCAGATAATAATGAATCATATAAGAGTAAATAAAACAAGATTTCCCACTTTTTCAACATGCTACTGGGTGTTTCTTTTAAATAAAAAGAGGTCATGACAGGATTTTAAACCTAGGTGTGACCTTCTACAAGATATGCATACATGTATTAAGTTCACCTCAGTATGTAAGTCTGTGTTGACCTAAGCACACACTTATCATTAAAGGTAAAAAGATACAGATAGAAAATAACTAGAGAATAATAGCAATTTTAACAACTCCACTTCTGAACAAGATTGACATTGATGCTAAAAGCAGATTCTTAGGTTAATATTAAGATGTATGTCACCAATTTCTTAAAAGTGTTATTGTAATGTGAGAAAAAAATTATTATAAATTTGTAAAATGAAATACTAATAATAAATAAAAAGCATTTGATACTAGATTGCAATGTGTATTTTTATTTTTTTCCTTTTTACAGGTTGGTGTTTGTTCCACCTTACAGCAGACCTGTCACTGTCTGGGAAGTGCTGTGGTTGGTCACAGTCACAGATTTTGTGTTGAAGTTAGCCAATATTCTGTGTAAGACCCTAGTTCTTGCACTTCCTGCTAAACTGTTGGCTTACCAAAGAAAGGCTAGTAGTTTTCTACAGTATTCACATTGAGTTTGGTATGCAAACAGGTTTTTTTTTGTAACTGATTTAAATTCCTAAGATCTGATTATATATATATTTTTTTTATGGTGGTTTGTGCCATACCATTTATCAAATGTGATTTTTATTAAATCAACAACTGACATTATTGTTGTGCAACGTAAATGCATTGGAAACTATTATTCATTACATTCTGTATTTAACTTGCACATTATAGTTATTTCATATATGTAAAGCTTTCTAGTATAATACATGGTGTATATGTAATTTGTGAGGTAAGTGCCCCTGATTTTGTAAAATGCAAATAATGTCTTCAAGCTGAAAGTTTTTATATCAATCAATTTTTCATTCAAATATTTTTCAAAAGTTTTTTTTACTGTGTTAGTTCATTTCAAAACAAAGTATTATATTAAACAAAATGATGTTGATTCACTTATGTCACTTGTTTCTCAGGGAATAAATTGAAAAGGTTTAAGCTTTTACTTCACCTTCAATTCTAAGAAGTTAACATTATATGCAGTAATGTTCAAATGTCTAAGAACATCCCATTGCCCCTGTAGTTTTCATTTTTTTTTTGCAATATCATATGGAGCTACTATAATATGAAATGTTTGCAAAATCATCAAAATAGGCACTTTACTGATTTTCTCACTTTATCCATGACTTTGATATACTTACACATTTAATGAGTTTAAGTTTTTTAAAGAAAAACAGCATATATCCACTAATGATTAAGTGATTATTTAAAAGTTCTTCGGGATGCCTAATCTAAATATAACTTGATGCAACATGTTTAACATATTTAATTTTATTTTTATCATTATACTTTTATTATTGAAATTGATTTGAAATATTAGCTTAATGTATGTATTTAGGACTAACCTAAATCTCTTAAGCTGGCTGAACCATGAGATTCAATTTGGTTTACAGCCAAAAATATTGTTAACAGTGAGGGTACCCAACTGACGAAATAATGTATTCTAATCTTTATAAATAAAAATGTAAGAAAACTATATGTGCTTGGCTATACTCATTACCAGCCGAAGTACATAGGTTGTTCTGATTGGAAGTTAATAATAATTCGATGGCGTACAAAAAATACTGTGTTTTTTCTACCTCTTTATTTTAAGATAGTATTTTTCAGAATTTGTTAGTTATTTTGATATGTGTAGTTTTCTATATGTGTGTGTGTGTGTCTGTTTGTCCCTTACCTAATTATTCCTAGGTCACTGGGCCAATCTTTGTGGGATGATAATTTTGAACAAGGTGCATGTTAATGGGGGTTCATACCCCATTATTGCTGTTATTGAGCATATATTATTTTTGACATAAGTTAACGTTTAACTACATTCACATTGTAATAATACGTAAACTCAGATGAAGTTTATACTACAACAGCCACCATAACACTGATGTGAAGAGCCATTTTTTGAGTTGTACCCACCTCCTACTTTGACCTGTGACCTAACAACTTCATCTCGTAAAACATTTCTGTGGACAATGACCATCAAGTAATTATTAATGTAAAACAGTGTGGAAAGACATTAAGAGCTGGGTGTTAAAAGTAGGTAACAGGAAGCAACCCTACAACCACTACCTCTTTGTACAAAGTCACCCTGACCATTGCATAGTGTACACCATGTTTTAAGTATAGACATGGTGAGTTCTTAAAGGGTATACAAAATTTTGTGTGAGGTAATAATGAATACTGTAATAATATGTCATGTTACAAATAAATTGTGTGAAAGTTAGGATTTTTGTGTTCTTTATCATAGCATCCACCCTATATTTTTTTTAAGTTCGTAACCCAGACAAAGGACAAGTACCTCAGCTTGTCGTATAATATGTGGTAAAAAAAAAAGTCTAAGTTGATTTTGTTCTAGTTGTTATTCTCTTGAGGTAACACTTGGTCTGCCTGTGGGAATGTGGCTGCTGTAAGGCTGTACATTGTGCAAGAATGAAGATAGCAGTGTTTTTTTTCAGTGATAGTTCACATGATATTTCAAGGTAGCAACATCTATTATGTTTGAATGAGAATGATCAGTCACATGGGTATCACTAATTGCTCTGGGTAAATTCAATGTCACTTGTTAAGTAAGGAGTGTTAGATTTAAACACACTTGAGGAAAAAAGTTAGGTAGCTGATCCAGTAAAAGTGACCACACTTTGTTAACTAAGCAAGTACATGCACTTGTTTGTATTATAATATTCTTCACTTGTATTTCACATGGAGTCCAGTCTCTCTCTTTTGTTCTCACAAACTTGGTTATTCAGAGAAATTTAGAACTACTCTGTAATAAATATATTGTTTAATATCATGTTATTCAGTGGACCTATCCTGTTGATCAAAGGAAAAATAATTTTGATCAAAATATACCACAGTTGTAACATGTGATTGCCTTTACTTTCTGTTCTAGTCATCACTAACAGAACCAAATCTTTACATGATGCCAACTTGGATTTTAAAAAAATTACAAAATATCTCAGCCATTCAACAATACTGTGAAGAAACTTGGTTGAATGGATGGCAACTGCTTGTTGTAGAAACACAAGTATAATAGAGGATGACATTTCGAAAGTTTCCACCTTTCGTCTTCAGGTCAGTGTGTGTATGGTGTAGTCAGTCTTTATAGTATTCTGGTGGATTGTGGAGAGCATGTTATGATTGGATGGTTTATCCCTGTTTGTGATTGGAGGAGAGACTTCCTGTAGATTCAACCAATGGTAGCCACAGGTTAGTCACCTCTAATCCAGAATAACTGTTTAGTGAAGGTTTTATTGTGTTAAAGTAAAATGATTCTTTAATTTTTTGTCTTCCAAAATTTGTCTGTGTCGATGGTTCTAGGTTTTTCCAGTTTGTTTTGTGTCCAGTTGATATGGTGTGTTCTGCAGTGGCTGAATTTTGTGTTTTGAGTCTTGTACTGTCTTTATGTTCTTTTATTCTTGTCTCAAGTCTTCTTCCCATTTCTCCAATGTATGTTTTGTTGCAGGAACTCTGAATTCCATAAATAATGTTTTTGTATTTCTCATTGGTAGGTTTCTGTTTTTTTTTTATCAGAATGGATCTTAATGTCTTGTAGGATTACCACTGGACTTCTATTTTGTATTTCTTGGCTATGTGTTTGAGTTTTTCACTGAAAGTTTGCAGGTAGGGGAGGTAAATGGTAGTATTGGTAGTGTTTATCTGATCTTTTCATTTTGTAGTGGTCTTATTCGGGGAGTTTTTGATGAAGGAGGAGGTGTAACCATTCTGTTTAAAACTCTACGATCTTTTGGCATTCTGTTTCGATGTATGTCTTATTGCAAATGTTTTCTGCTTTCTTGTTTAGGCATTGGATTATGCCACGTTTTATCAAGGTTGGATAATAGGACTAGAACTTTAGGTATTTTTTGTGTAAGTGGGTTTTCTCTATACAGTTGTGGTGATTTTTTCTATTTTGTCTGCTGATAAGTATGTCAAGAAACGGTAGGCTGTTTTGTTCTTCTATTTCTATGGAGGGCTTACTGCGAAAAGAGACTAGATTTTGTAAAAGAACATTTATCCTGATCTTGGAACAGTGTCACAAAAGGTTCTATGAACAGAAAAGTCTTCATTTAAACTCTTTGGCTCCAACTAGCATGTACATGTTTGTGGAAGTATCAATGAGAGGTTGTAGAAGGAGCACCTTGTGTGAACAGTCGAGCATGCAGGAGGTTCTGTGATGGTTTGGAGCACAACATGTGTGAATGGTATTGGCCATCTTCATAATATTGGTGGAATCATGGATCAGCGTAAATACCACAATTTATTAGTCATTCATACCATACCCTCTGGAGAGCAGAATTTCATATCTTAAAAAGATAATGACCTCAAACATACTTCCAAGAAATGTCAAGTATACTTGGCAAAGAAATAAAGGTCAGGAAAGCACAAGCAGATGGAATGGCCACCACAAATTCCAGACTTTAACTCCATAGAACAAGTCTGAAATTGGCTGGACTCCATGCTTGACAAATGTAGCAAATTTATTAAAAAAGCATCTGGGCACAGCTTCAAGAAAAATGAAATCAAATTATAACAGAAGGTTTGAGAAAATACACAATGTCACAAGTATGCCATGTTATAATTGATGCCAAAGTAGCCACGCTAAATATTAGAATTACAGAAACTTAGACATTATTTGTGTATTAATTTTGTAACAGTTTCCTATAAGATTAATTTGCAATATTACAAGTTAACATACGTAGCAGATAAATGACTATTTTGTGTTTAGAGCTCATAAAATAATTGTTGAGGTGTTGTAACAAATTTGCATGCTACTGTATGTATATACATATAATTGTAGAATGGTAGAATTTTTTAAATTAGAATATAAATAGGAATTCGTAAACAAGCAATAGTAACTTATTGTTTATGAAGTGGGAATGATAAATATTTAACATTTATGAAGTGGGAATGTTAAATATTATCAAAAAAGTAACTTTAAAGATAATATATAACTTCAGTCACCGAATTAGGTATTACTTGTTTCTTACATGTACTTGTAGCTGTTTCAACTGAATAATTAAATTGTATCTATTTAGGGAAAATATTACCTGTTTTTGGAAACAACGTCTCAGCTTTATCGTAGCTTAGCTCCCATGCAACACTGGCTCTTTTATTTTTCTGAATCATATCATGGGTCCAGTAAAATATTTGGTGTGATCTTATCAGCTGCATATCTGGTGTCGAAGGTGAGTTTTAAAATAATTTGTATGTATCATAGAAGTACAAAACCACATAAGTGAATGGTTGTAGGCAACAAAAGAACAACAAACAGACAATACAACTAGTTATGAAAAACTAGTTAAAATATTGCCCATGGAATAATTTATTATACCACTGTTTCACACAGATATATATACTCCTTTAAACTTTGAATTGATATAGTATGATTATAAGAGAATTATGTTGTTTGTTTCAGAAACCCTTATAATAAATGAGAGAGCTATCGAATAATGTTCAATAAAGAAAAACATTTATATTGTGGCAGTTAGTCCACTGTAGGTAAAAGCTAACCAGTTTAATGAAAATTTTAGTGAAAAAATATAAAAGAAAAGTTTACAGAAATTACAAAAGATAACAATTATAGTTTACTGTATTAGATATATTTTCTAACTATATAAGGTCTATTGTGCTTGAAAATGGCATTCCTACAACTCATTAATTCAGGTTATTTCATATCTTGATTTCAGTAATGTACTTATTATGATTACAGTTTGATTTGTTGTGAAATATTTTAAACCATATTGTCACGGTTATACTTTACTGCACGTGACAAAAGGTTTTGTGTCTTACATTAAAAATCTTTATTAAACTACTTTTTGTCTGTTATACCAATTAGAATAACATGAAATCTTAGCTAATAATCCATATTTTTATTAGTATAGAAGTTTCAAGTTCTTAATTCTACAAGGCAATATACAAACAAATTCTGAATTTCCCCTAGTGAGACCCACATGACATATTTTCTCTTAGCATGTCATCTTCACCCTCGAAAAAGTACAAAATTAAATGTAAATTACTCTTTATAAGATCATCATTGTTCAGACAAACCATAATTTTTATAGTTTTCAATTTTGTTTTGTTATAGAGCTATTGAATAGAAAATCAGACCCCTCCTGTCACATCCTCTTTTTCACAATTCGTTAATAATTCTCTTAAGTTTAACTATATATTACCTATAACCAATAGAAAGTCAATGTTTTCATCTATCAAAGGATGTATTGTATAACATTATGTTCTGAACAGTTATGTCAATTTCACTCAGAGTACCAACACTGTTCGTGTGAGAAAGTTAATGACTAACTTGGATGAATTTGTAACAACTCTTGTTGCATAATTAGAAAGCCAGACAAATTTTGAGAGGTAAAGGAATTTGTCTGCTTTTTGCGTGTTATTAGTTTATATTGTATGGTGCATTAGTTAATTAAATAAAAATTATGAAGTTATTTACTATTATTAGTATTAAAAAATTAGGGTTAACTCTCTTTGACAATTGACAATAAGAAAAAAGAAGATTGGTTAAGTATTTTAGTTTCTTGTTTTTCATGTGTATTCTTTATGTATAATTATAAAAGTAACTAAAATGTAAAAATAGGGATCTTTTTAGGTTAGATTAGATTAGGTAAAATAAATAATAATATATTAAAAATGTTTTATGAGGCACACACGTAAGCTGCACATTCCTTGAGTGATTTATAAACTTACAATGGCATGGATAGTAGTTAGACATGATTCAAAGAGCAATAAAACAATAAAATTTAATTATAAATGGATGTATATTGTTATGAACTTGGAGTTACTTAGGATAAACCAATGTAGTTTCGTGTTACAATTTGAAATCATTCTAGAAAGTAAAAAAAAAGAATAATAGATTTATTTAGATTGTTTTTTTTTTTTTGGTGGTTACAAGGTCAGTCGAATTGACTGATTCTGTTTTGAGATAGGGTAGAGAGAATAACAGATAAACTATAAAGTTTTACTGAAAAAAAGCATTTGAAATGCATTTAGGAGGTTTTAGGGATTACACAAAGGAAATTTGAGATTTTTGAGATGAAGAAGAGTATTTTTAATTTTAACATGAAAATTACTTCGTACACGGACTATTCAAAATAAATACTCAATGTATTCATAGACAAAGCCTTATTTTATTTTATTCAAAATACTTCATTAAAAAATATGATTTTTTGTACGTGAATGACTTATGATATAGACTGAGAGACTGCCAAGCTTTGTGAAAATATACACACTATATTGAAAGTTAGAAGTATTAAATTTATAAAGACTAAACGAATACAAAGAGGTCATGTGGTTGGTCAAAATGACTGAGCCCATGTTGAGAGAGTTAAACATCATTACATGCTTTTAGAAAATAGTTATTGCTTTGTTATATTTGATGAAGTTTATTAGAAACTTTACCTAGAAATGCATGAATGCAATAAAAAAACCTAATATTTAGCTAATTAAAACAGAAAAATTTATCAAAACACAAAACAAAGCAATCATGATGAAGTTGTCCTGTTTGCCTCCAAAGTATACGAAGATACTCTTATCAATTCAAAAATGTGTGACCTGTAATTAAGATTTAAGTAGTGTCATGTAATATTGCAAGCAATATATTGTGTGTATTCCACTCTTACCAAGGCATAAATACCTGTAAAGAACATTTTATGTGTAGAACATGTGACACAGTTCTAACAAATAGTCATTCATTGTAAATGTATTGTAAGTATAATTTCTGGCACTTTTTAAACATTGCTATTAAATGATCATTGTACTTAAACAGCACTTCTTGGCCAACTTAAAAATTTGTTAATGATATTACTGAATGGCCCCATAACAGTAGGTAGTGCTTATTAATTAAGACCATCTGACGTATTGATATCTCACACCTTCAGCAGCCTATATAAACTCTTTTCTCATAAATTCTTTTCATAAGATTTTGGTATCCACACACATTTAAACCGTGTTCATCCTCCTATTTGATGTATGTCTATTTACTCTTGCCAAGATTCCATGCAGAGCATGCTGACTGAACCATATCCAAATGCTTCTTATTAGTCAGTGTATGTCATTAACTTGGTAAAAAAAAGAATACAATTTTTGACTAATGTAGGAGATAGTACTGGTATTTTAGGTTGTAATTCTTTTTAATGTACGTTGACTCATTTTCTTTGTTCTATATAAATCAAACTTCAGTTCAAATTATTAAGTCCTAAAACAAACTTTATAAAACAAAAGTGTTGTAAAAATTTCATTTACTGGGATATTTTAAGATAACTAATGTATTATATTGTGGATAAGTCAGCAATACAGTTTGACAAAACTATAAAAGTACTGAACAATTGCATGTTTTATTTTGACTTTAGAACACATACTATCATGCTTCTTTTTTTTAATAAGATTGTCCTATATTTATTAGCTCTCAAACTTGTCAAAATCATATATGTCATATTTAAAAAGTGAAGTTTTAGCATTCACAGTAGATTTTTACCAGATTGTATACAGTTTTAGTTTGAATAAACAAAAGATGTATATAATACTCAACATTTTTTATTGTGATTTAATATAAGATTATAAAAACGTTTCTGTAAGTTCTTTAAGACAAGATTTTTGGAACAATAATTGAGGGTGAGATATTTTTGATATTGTTATGTGGTTAAGTATCTGTTTTCGGTGGTTTAGTGTAAGGACATATTGAGCAAAGTGAGAGCATGGAAGAAAGCAGTAGGGCAGCTTCTTCAGAAGGTGGTGAGTGTTTTTTTTATCTTTTATTTAGTTGTAGTGTATCAATTAGTTTATGAATAAAATTTGCAAAGGTACCATACTGCAGTACTGTTTGAGGTCAAATGTCTTCAACGAAAATAATATATGAATAGTAATAATGTGCCAGTTAAGGTAAAATCTGTTTTGTCTTTTTTTTTCTTTGAGGTAAGCTTTTTAATGTCAACTGTTTACCTTTTTTTTAACAATAATTATTATTTGACATATAATACCTGTGAAATACTTGCACTAGTGATAGCTAATAACGTGTATATTATTTTATGGATATGTTAGATACATTACCATGTCTTTTTTTTGTTATAATTTCATTCTATTACCTAGAACAAATTGTACTTTACATATATAATAGAACTCAATTGTTGTATATCATGCATATTTTTGAATGATTTTAATTTTTAAATATTATTTATTTATGTTTAGAATTTTGTACTCTATCATAGAATTTAAAAAATTCAACTTGTTACAATATTATTCAATTCCTTTCTAAAAGTAATTACATATTTTATATAACTACACCATGTGATATTAATACAGTTTTTTTCCCATTTTGTTATTGTTATTTGAATTGCTACAAAATTATGTTTGTATGTGGATAAAACCTTTAACTGTGAAACTTCAAACTATCATTCAGTGTTATGGCATTACACCTTCTTCAGACCAGATGAAATGTGCAGGAGAGTCATGTGCAATATGTCAAGATGACTACAAGACGCCAACTATGTTGGAGTGCAAGGTAAATTTCACAATTACTGTAACATTTAAGATTTCTTGCGGATTTTATTTTGTGAGAAGCTTTAACTACCTGTGTAAGAAAATGTAAATTTATATATAATATAACACTACATCTCAAAGCTTTGTAAGTTGTAGTTCATTATTGATTCTCAGCACACTCGCTTAGATTTTGTGTACACATATGACTATCTAATGTATAAGGGTATTACAAAGTAAATATCCTACTTCAGAGCACTATAGTGCTTAAGCTATAAAGTGGTGTCATCGAACTAGTACATGACAAGTAATGTGTGAAATAAATTGTTGTACTTACTAGATCTTGTCAACATTGCATAATGTAAATGTAGGTCCTGATAAATATTCAGTAAACACATTATGTATAACAATGGGCATTACTTCTGCCAGCCTCATTTCATTTAGTATGCAGGCAACCTGTACACTTTGGATACTTAATTTGACATCCTCTATTGTTGCATGGGCAATCTTTGGAGAGTAGGTGTAGGTCTTCCAAAACAGAATTTATTCAAATGCACAATTAGAAATATTTGGAAATACAAAACTAATTATCGCTACATTACATTTGATATTCAAAACTTTAAATCATATTTGATGAAACCTTCATATTCTGAGTCTGAATCACTGTCCTTGACAAGTTGGAGAAACTTCCCTACCATGTCATTGTCACTGTATATGGCATCACTGCGAACATTGTCTACCACAGCAGTGTCATCATCCAAGTGGATGTCATCTTCGGAACCAACCATGCCATTTGTGAATCAGTATTGCAAAAGGCTAGATGTGTATTATTTATGGTAAAAAGGCAAATTTGACACTGTGTTCATGAAGATTAGTGCATATTATATTTGGGAGTGTATTAAATTTGGAAAATTATGGTACCATAGGGTGTGAAATATATGTACATACTTAAAAGTAAATGTGCAGAAATACAAGAAAATAAGTATAGTGAGTAAATCTTAAAAATCACATGACTTAGCTTTTTTTATCAATTTATTTTAAAAACCATATTTAAAGATACTGAAAATGAATGAAAATTGAAGGCAATTCTCATTTATGTCTCAGAAACAGAGAGAAATTAATTTGATTTACCATCGAAGCCCAACATTTCTAGTAAGTATACATTACTGTTTACAATGTGTATTGGAAAAGATGGTCTGGACTGGCTGTAAAAGTCCCCGATGTGTCAGCAATAAGTTTGCGAACTTAGGTGGACACAGCAGATAGCATAATGAGGCTTTGCTTTCAAGCAAACAATAACAATAACTGGCTGTAAGAAAACCATTTAGAATTCTTACCATGTATTATATTTGAAAAATTATGGTATTCCCAAAGAGCTCCCTTTGTACAGCAGCACTTTTTATAGTAAAACGTCTCTGTCTTGTTACCTTCATCATGCAAACTCTTTTGTACAACAATATATATTTGTACGATTCTCCTCAAGGAATTTAGGATAATGTGCAGTGCTAGATTTAGTAAATCTAATAAAAATTCTGGCATATAATTTCAGATGACACAAGTATCTAAAGTATATTCTTAATACTGGTAACTAATTGTCTAAACTAATAATAAATAAAATATAGTTTTTCCTCAGCTGTGGTTTATTTCATACAAGACGTACTTCCTGTACTGTCTCTAGTTACTAAACGTTGGAATTTTCAAAAGATTTTTCATGTCTTCAGTGTTTTTTAATTATGTCGTACATTCACCATTTGCTTTCAAACTGTTCTCACTAGACTTAAATTTTTCTAAATTGGTGTACCATTGTTTTTAGTTTCTTGTAAATATGTGGTTATTGTTCAAACCATTTAGGCACCAGAATTATGAATTATTTTTGCAGCATATATTCTGTGAAGAGTGTGTATCACTATGGTTTGATCGAGAAAGGACCTGTCCAATGTGCCGAGCTCAGATTGCAGATGACCCTACGTGGCGGGATGGATCCACAACTTTTCTTATTCAGCTGTTCTAAAGAGTTCTTATATTATTATTAAGAAGATTAAGTAGATATTCTTTCATGCGTGTCATTAATCAGATACTTAAGTTCTACAAGATGTTATCAAAAAACTGTGAAGGTGTAAACTTCAGCTTGATTATTGTACAGATTTTTGCAAATGATAAAAGTATTTAGAACATTTGTGAAAGTTGTATATAAAAATGTATTACAAAAAGGAAGTTTGTCTAATATATATCAAGTAATTAACTTCAAAATTAGATTTTTGATAACCAAGATAAATTTAAACTCCATGTTAAATTACATTTAGAATGTTTTTAAGCTTTAAACATTGGTTAAAAATACTTATTTGGTACAGCGATTATTTTTCAGTTTCTCAGCTGATACAAAATCAGAAAATTAGCTAGTTATCTTTTCAAAAAGTAACTGCAAAGAAATTTCTGATTCAGAAATTGTTAACCTTTCATTTTGTAAATTATTTTTGTTATATATATGTCTTGACTGTTAACTATAAATAAAAACATGTCTAAATAAAATTAACCTTATTCCATATAAGTTTGTAACTATAAAAGAAGATATTTACACAACCTTAATGTTAGCATCATTAAACATTTTTGGTGTGTTCTCCACAGTTCTGTTTTAAAACAAATTTTACAGCCTTTAATTCATATATTAGGATGCCTTGAAATATTTCAACTGAATCCTCATAATATGTGAATTAAAAAAAAACAACAACTTTTCCTAGTACCAGTTCACCTGCAAAGAAAGCAGTCCCTACGTTATTAATGTGTGGTGTTTATTTTCAATTTATAAGCCTAAAAGTAAACATTTTGAAATTCATCAAATCACCTAATCACAGTAAGTGTTAAGATTGTATGCCACACCTAAAGAAAAAAGTTAAGATCTTGTAGTCAATTTTTGGGTTTTTGCTGAAGCTAAATTTCCTTTATACTGCTTGTAATGGTTAAAATGCCACCAGTTTGGTGTTATAGCAGTCAGGAAAGTGTTTTTTATCAATTATGCTCTAATTGCAATAAAACAATGTTTGTTCTAGAGTAAATAAGATAGGTTTTATGTTAGAAACTGGTAACCTTGATACCATACCAAGTTTTTCTGAAGTTCTATTTTTCAGCTATTCATGAACGTAAATTCATGCTTTCACACTAAGTTTTAATATTACTGATACTGACTGACCAAATGCATAAATGGTAAGAATCCGATTTATTGAATGCTCAAAGTTATGAAATGTAATTCTAGGTCAAATCACACAAGGGAACTTTCGAAATTGGTCAGTCAAAAATGACTTTCACATAGTAATATGATGTTAATAATTGTGCAAATAAGAATTGGGTATCTAAGAGTCTGTAAATACCATTGGTTCAATCAATAAACCAAATATCCAATGGTAACAAACAGGTTATTGTGTTCGGTTAACAACTATTGATCACATAAATCTCTTAGTTTTAGTGTATATTTGTTCAGTATGTAAGATGATCTAACCTATTTAAAAGACAGTGTGTTTCACGTCACGCTTGATTTCTCGAAATGGGAGGAGTTATAAAAGCCAATATGTATTTATCCAGGTAGAATAGTTCGATTACTGTCTGCCCATTACGATTTTAATGATGAGGGTGCAAGGGGGACGTGCCGTGAAACCTTATAAATGTAGTGAGTGTTGGTATAATAAGCCTAAAATAAAGACGTAGTGTGGGATCACCTAGCCTAGAGCCAAGTGCATAAAATATATCATAAAAGTAAAAATATCGATTCAATTCTAAACTTAAATCATTTCTGAATTAAGCTATTTTCTGTTATATCACAAACTTTTTAAATAGAAAAAAAAAACGAACCTCTTTAATCAACGTAGAATCTAAATTAAGAAGTCAACAAATATTTTTCAGTTTTGTTGTCTATACATTTAATTTTATACTTTCAGTACATAGACTAACAACAATATTAGGTTATACTTTTGTTGCTAAGCGATGCGACATAGAAAAACCACTGTTGGAACATAGTGTTACCAAAACGCACTGGCTTTTCTATATATTAGAAGTTGTTAATCTGATTTTTACCAGTAATTCTATGAATACGCCACTAATTCATTTCATGAATGGTTTTAACTTTAATTGGCTCACAAAGGAATTTACCGACGTTGGACTGCCTCACAGGCGCTTTTCTCCCTCTGTTGATTCAGCTTGATTACGCAAAATTTATTTCGGTTAGCTACGAAATGTGAGGCTAGGGTATACTACCGGGTGGAGGTGGGGTGGTAGTACTTGCCCCATCATTTTTGATGGGCTATACCCTAGTTATTAAATAAAAGCGTGCAAAAAGGGATATGGGATAATCTGGCCACATGAAACAGGACGGCTTTCTTTTCATCCGAAAAAGTTGAAAGTATGCTATTTTTCTGTCATTAGTCATCATAAACGTCCTAGTTATTTTTTAAAATTTTGAATTAAAATATAAAGAAGGAAGATCAGATAATAGTGTAACAGCGATCCGTTATATTTAGCGTTTCTATCGATATCAAAATAATTATGTGATAAACATCATATAAAGATTACACTTGTGTTATGAGTATGTATACAGATACTAGCGTACTGGTGTTAAATGTGAGCGTCGCGAATTCAAATCCCCACCACCGAACATGCTTGTCCTCTATGGTTGCTGTGTAGGCTTGCCATCCTGGCGTAAATCTCTCTTGTCTTAACAACAAGACTAAGGTCGAAATGGGAAAAAGAACAAAAAACGCGCATATATGTACATCCTTGCGCATCTCAGATTAACCTTTTTAGTTTTACTGGTAGATTTCGAAAATTAACTTTCCATATCTTTCATATATATACATTCGTTACTTTGTTTGCACGTTGTAATTCCTTTATCATAGCCCTTCTAGTTTAGTTCAGCTACTGATGCTACCCATAAAAAAAACAACTAAGATTATAATTTTGATCAGTTATTGTAACAACTTGTTTTTGCTTCTGCCGCTAAAACAGGAAAAAATAAGACATGAAATTGAGATTACCAGCTGTCCTCTGTATTTGAATAAAAAAAAAAGCTAAAAAATATATCGAACTCAAAATACTTTATAAACTTCTCTACAAGAGAAATCAGTTTATTATTGACATTTTCATGTGCAATGACATCGAAATAAGATCACATATTATTCAGTTATATAAAGGTTGGCATTATCTTTGATCCTAGTTTGCCATGCCATTTTGCACAAAGTACATAAATCAAGTGAAGATGTGACAGTTTACTTTGTATAAATAAGAAGAATCTCTTCCCCTTGCATCTTAAAAGTCTGTTGAATTTGATTCATTTATGGTTTACTGACACTGGTGTATTAATGAAACGAATAACATTTCTCATACCATATTAGTACAAAAGTTCATGTATCCCGAGGAAAGTTACAACTACACTGTTCACTTACTAAACAAGGCCACTGTGGCTTCTATGTGACAATTGCCAAGAAAGTATATTCTGGTTACACAATTTTTGAGACCTGATAAAAACCCTTAAAGAACGAGAAGTACAGTGAAATAAATATAAAAACCCCAGTAAAGTTTATTTTTTATGTACTATCCACGACTCTAGTGTATCTCTTGTACTGCTTTATGATTGTAAACCCAGTGCATTTAATACTTTCCTCATATTAAGTAGCTCTTTCTTCTGCTTGCCAGTCACTTCTATACTTATGTTGACATCCTTGTACATATTACCTCCACCCAGTGGTCTTAGGTCTAGTAGGTCTTCATCTTCAATGACAAAGTCACTGTCTTTTGGTTCTGTGTCTACGCCTTAACAAGTACAATCATTAGGTCTTCTTCCCTCTTGAAATACCTTTTTAACAAATTTGCATGGTAGATCTTTGTCTTCTCATCCACTTTCTCCTTATAGTCCATTCTGACCACTTCCTTCACTTCAAAATGTCCTTTCCACTGCATGCTGAGTTTATTGTTGTCTGTAGGTAGCAGAACCAAGACCTTCTGTTTGAACTTGAAATGTTGATCCTAGGCCTTCTTGTCATAGAAGTGCTTCTGACTGCCCTGAGCTGCATACAAGCTCTCTCAAGCAAGTTGACAGGTCTCCTCCAGTCAGTTTCTGGTCTGTGTACACTTCTGTCTCTTCTTCTCAACATCTTGCAGGCCTTTACCTGTGAAAAAGGGCCTGAGACAGACTGCCTAATGACCTTTGTCCCACTTCTGACTTTGGGCAAATCTTTCATACCTCTCTAGGATAGCACCCATGTTATCTTACTGTTCATCAAATTTGGGCAGCCTGTATTAGTTGGCCCTGACCCCATGGTCATTCTTTGGTCGTTCCTTTTTCTGTTGGGTGATCTCTCTTTGTGCTCTTATTCTCTCTATTTCAAGTCTTTCCTCTCTACATTCTTCTTTCTCAATTTGTACTCTTTTTCTATCTATATGTGTCTCCTTTCTCAATTTGTGCTCTTATTCTCTCTCTCTATTTGGAGCCTCTCCTATGTTTTTTTTCTTTTAGTCTTTCTTCCTCTCTAGTTCTTGTTTAACAAACTATCATAGATCGTTATCTCTATACAGTTATCACAGTCAACTGACATGGTTATGTAGCGTGATTGTAGTCTCTACAATATTTTTGCCATCACTACATTTGTGCATACATAGGCATCAAGTTAAATTAGTGCTTTACTACTATAATGGGGGATGGAATGCCATCTTCAGGAGGTAAGTTTATCTTACTTACCCCCAAATGGTAGTTCCTTATTTCGTTTTTCTTTGGAAAACAGTCACCTTCCCACAACTGTCTGCAGGCAGTGAAGGGTGATATAGATGTGATCAATACTAAAGAAATAAAGTGCACAGCTAATCCATCTCATGTTGACAATGCTCCACGTCATGGCAACTTGTAACTCATGGACACCAGTATCCTGCATAGATCAAACAAAATGAGGAGCCTTAATATTTAGTACCGTCAATATGGAACCCAGCTTTGCGTGGTTCATTTTTGCTATTAAGGACACCTTGCTATAGACAGCATTTGGACGCAGACGGAAGGGTGCATATAATGTCGAGTTTTACTGTATTGTAAACGAGATTAGTGCAACTTGTAAGTTTTTGTCTCCCTCCCAAAAAAAAATTAGTTGTGTGTTTATTGGTTCTATTATTTCAGGTGCTCTTAAAAACATGTTTATTACACCTGC